TTGTTGTTGTTGTTGTGTTTTATACTCTTTTAGTATTTGTATTTCCACTCTCTTGTAGTTTTCGTTTATAATTATAATTTATGCAGTTCGGAGCGTACCGCTTGTTGACAGAAGACCCCATCAATCAGTCTAGGATCGCCGTAGATCGGTCTATTGGCGGCACGGCAGGGTACGACAGGGCACGACAGAGCGCGGCACGGGTAATGCTCATCTGCCACCGTTGCGTTGGCGATATGGATCGCGTTTTGTAAGTGAGCCCAGACAAATCGTGTACAAGATAAGCTTACATTAGATTCAAGTCCCAGGTAGCTGCGCTCTAATTGGCCATGCAATTGGATATCTCGCTCGCCAGACCGCCCGCTCCTTGTTGACTCAACGCCTTGTAGCTGTTAATTATACATATATCACTTCATTTACACATACATATATATACAGCAATATAGGGGTGATTCCTTGAATTTCCCGCTTGGTCGTCTGTGTCACCATTTCGCTGCTCATTCTGCGTGCGTCCTTTAGATTTATTGGCCCTGCGCTCCATACAAATCAAGCTGGGCGTTTTGTTTTGCACATTTTTATGGGCGCTACTGATGCTATGCAAATCAGCTATAACTCGATATATAGGTGTGTGCACATGTGTGTGTGTGTGTATGTTATGTGAACTGCAGTCAGTCGAGTGGCTTGTAAAAGTTGTTTTAATAGTTGCATGAATCACACGAGTTTAACAGTAGCGAAATAATGCAAAACAGGAAAGGATATGTTATAATTGGGAATATGTATGTGTGCGAGGTCTGTTTAAGAGGTTTCTATTTTTAACAAAAATGATTTATTTAATTAGAAATATCGAATTTGTCTTAACAAGTACTCTCCGTAAGATATTTGGCAATTGTGAAAATATTTTTCTCTTATCCTCAAAGCACTTTTCAAAATCTTGCTGATTTTTTCTTTGATGCTGTTATTATCTATTCATTTGCTGCTTTTTATCCACTATTTGTCTCTTCAGAAACAATAAAAGGAAATTATAATTTACTACTGCAAACATAATTTGATATCTCTCCACTTTTTCTCTCAACCTAAGCTTCATTTGTTGTTTAGACTTGCATTGTTTTTTTT